GAATTTCAAGAAATAGCAAATAGGGAATCGGGAAGAGAAATAACAGGAACACACGAGAAATGTTGTGGGGAGGCGAGAAGGTTTACAAACCAGTTGCTGTGCATTATTGCTGGAAAGGAAACCCGACTGAACTTGTCCAACCCCCATGAAACCCCGCTCCTCTTTCCCCTCAATTGAAAAAAGAAGAAAAATAAATTCATACATGCATACACACACACACACACACACACACACACACACACACACACACACACACACACACACACACACATACATACATACATACACACATACATACATACATACATACATACATACATACATACATACATACATACATTCACGTACGTACATACATACATACATACATACATACATACATACATACATACATACATACATACATACATACATACATACATACATACATACATACATACAAACATACATACAAACGTGCACACACACAAACACGCACACACACAGACACACACACACACACATACATATACTACTAATTACTATATATATATATATATATATATATATATATATATATATATATATATATATATATATATATATAAATTATATTAGAATATAATAGAACAGTTTGAAAAGAACAGACCGACAGACGAATAAAATCTACCGAGACAGACATGCAAACACCCAGTGATCTGAGAAGATAAACAGAACAGGCAGCTAGACATCAGGAGAAACAAGCAGAAGGTTCTTAGCCCGACACAGGGGTCACGGTCCTTATCTTGCACCACCCCCCCGACACGTGTAAAAGATAAACAGAACAACAGTAAGCGAGAACTATAATACTGCAACAAACAAGCAGATAATGGGTTAGCCTAACACAGACATCACTGTCCTTACCTTGCACCCCTCACATGTGTAGACGCCATAATGGAAGCCAGAAGCCTTTTCGCCACAGACTTTACAAGGTGGTAGACACTCTTGAAGCGGCATGGTGTTGGGGTTTCCTGGATTCTTTGTCTTGAGGCTTGTAGCTTCTGAAGTACTGGGGGCTTCACTTTTGTTGGAAGCTAAAGCTGGCTTTGGTGTCATCGTAGATGGTTTGGATACTGTCGATGGGGATGGTGAGGGTGATGGTACTGATTGCGTTGAAGGTTGTCCACGTAGTTGTGGTAGCGGGTGTGTCGAGGGCGATAGAGATGCTGGCAACATCGGTGACAACGATTGTGAGGTACTTAAAGTAGTGTTGGTAGATAGGGCTGGAGAGTACGAGGGTGAAGAGGGGGAGCGAAAGGAGGCAGGGGAATGGACAGTGGAGGTAGAGAAGGAAGGGAAGCAAGGGGGAGATGCTGGAGTGAAATTGGGGGATGGAGTGGAGGGAGTGAAAGGGGAGGATAAGGTCAATGAAAACGAAGATGGAACTGTAGAGGAGGAGAAGAATAGGGGCGGCGAAGGAGAGAAAGAACAGGGGGGAGGGATACAAAAAGACAAAGATTCTTTGGGCATTGATGGTGACAAATCCTCGGTTGACACATTGGGAGAAACAAGCTCTGTTTGCGCTACTCTATGAGGATTTGGCATGACGTCAGCACAACGACACGCAGTGGGGAACTCGGGTGAAGTGGGAGGAGTCTCTAAGTCTAGCTGATCTGTCAGCCACCCATCATCATCATGGTAGGTTATCATGGGCGGAGACAAATCATATCCAGTAGCCATACCGCTTTGGCTGTTCGAAGCACTGCTAGCAGTGTCTGGCACGTAACTGTTCTTGGCGGGAAGAAACCAGGAAATTTCAGAACCGCCCGTTGATGAGAAAAATTCATCCTGTTCTGACTCGGCTGATTTGTAATCACTGCTACTAGAGGGAGATTCTACGGATTGTCCAAAAAGCTTTGCAGATTCCATGTTGAAATTTTTTCCTTTAATACTGCCGAGTGATCGAACTGATTTCTGTTTCAACAGTCTAAACAAATCCTTCGGGGTGAAACATCAAATCCGATATTAGTTCAAGGTCTCATACGTCGGCGCACTACACGTGCATAATTATATACATAGTATAGTATTATGAGTGTACACGTGAGCGGCGTGTTTGTGTGTGTGTGTGCGTGTGTGTGTGTGTGCGCGCGATTGTGTGTATCTTTTCACGTTCTTTGCTCACAAACGCGTAAACCATAATAGCCAAAACAAACGATTATGATACTTCAGTTTCAAAAGATGGAGATCACAACTACGCAACACATCCCACTTACAGCGCTGAATAGCAGAAACTAGGAAGATGAGAGACATGAACTAGACTATTTGTCCACTGCAATTTGTAACACTAACAGTTCACACAGCCACCCAGGGTATTCAGTAAGCCAAGGGTGGGGGATTCTTTGTTCTTCCAACAAGTGGCATGATTTCAATAAACTGTTCTGTTTAACGCGCAGCTTGGAGTATCGATGTATAGAAATCTATCAGGCCAATGTCCCTTGGCCGTTGTCCAGGCAAATCAAAGTCACAAACTGTCGCTTAGATCCTGTAAAGGAAAAGAAAGGTTACGAGTATTTGTATTACGTTGCATACAGGAAGATCGAAATGAAAGTAGAATGGGATGGGACAAATTTGTTTTAATGAATAAAGTAATAAAAACGACAAGTAAAAAAAAATTGAATGTGGATTGTGTATTAAAGTGAAGAGCATCCGCTTGTATTTCTGTTGCCTGTATGAGTGGGTTCGTGTTACTGGCATTTCATAATCAACAAAACATAGCTGGTCATTTTCGAGATAGAAAAGAGGAAGAGTTTATGCTCACAGACACATAGTTTGTTCACGCTTGTGCAAGTGAGTTGTGCATCATTGACATGGGTATCATTGTTCACGAGTCTAATGACCGCAATTCTGTTTAGATACTGAATCTTTGTTTGCTTATGATCTTATCGTAATCTTCTCTTATCAATCAAAACAGCCTCACAAAGGGAGAAAGGGAGGTGGAGTGGTTGGGCTCTCGCTTTCATTCATTCCAAGTACTATACGTTTTCTTTGATATTCTATTGTGAAGCTTTTACCTCAAGCAAATTTTTTTTAAAGTAGAAAAAATATCTCACCTCTACTATATATTTCAGCAGGAGACTGTTAGAGGGGGAACACACACAAGGAGGTGAACATTAAAATGCTAAAATATTTTGTGTCTTCAAGCAAAAAGAGATAAACAAACTGGAGAGAAATTGTTTGTTAATTTATTTTTTTTAAACCACTGTTGTATACCAAGCAAATTATAGGTTCAAATACAAAGAGAGGGAAAACCCTCCAAATTACAGCGCAAATTCAACTCGAAGTCTTTGTTCGAGCAAAACGCTCTCTCTCAGTCTCTGTCACAGGGATATACGTTCTACTGGGAAAGTTCCAGCTGCACACCCCCCCCCCCCAAGACACGTGATGAGTATCGATTACTAATACAAAACACAAACCCTGTACACGTAACTGTTGCTAAGACAGTCCGATGAGACAATGTATGCGCCTCTGGGTATTACTTTACACGCTGCTTACGTACAAAAGTAAAAGTTCATCATAATGTAGTGTTGTTTGGTTTGCTTTTTGTTTTTGTTTTGGGCGAGGCGGGGCATGTTGTTGTTGTTTTTTTTTGGTGGGTTTCTTTTTTTGACAGCTTATTCTTTAGTTTGTAAAAACTGTGTCTATTAATCCGTTCGTTTGTTTGTTTGATTCACCAAACGTTCATATGATGAACGCAATGGGGCTAACGCTACACAAAGTTCGACAATGTCTATGTTCACGCAGTCAAACCCCGTTATACTGCCTACCTTGGGACGAGTATGAAGCTGGCGATATAACGGGATGGCATAAATGGCCATCTTGAGTAGTATTAGACTGGTAGAGACTACAGACTAACTGTGTCTCATCTAGACCTATCTTGCGCGATTTCCATGCGCAGGGGAAGAACAAGTAGCAAGCAAGTACAACTCCAACTAAACTTAACGTACGTTCAGATTAAAAGAAACTAGCCTACATGTGATAAGGGCCCTGTACAAGTACGCCCCCCACCCCCCACCCCCTGTCAATTTTCGGATTGCCTTAGACTTGTTATGATTTAGAACAGAGATTGAGTTCTCACAAAATAAAAGCCTCATGGGCTACCGCCAGCCTTCTGTTCATCGGGCTGACATCTGGTGACTCAAGACATTTTGCAGGCCGGCGGCACTGGCGCAGTTGCCTTGAAGTTTCTCCGCAATTGCATTCCAACTTTCGTTATTCAATATCGGCAAAATCTATAAGTAATTGCATTTTAATATGAGTTGGGGGCGGGGGGCGGAGGGCGAATTCGACCCCCGTTCAAAAGTAAGTCACCCCCCTCCCACATTCATCCCCTTTCCCACCCGGTCGTTATCGATATGGCTAAATAAGGCATTAGCAGTGAAGTCAATCGATTGCTCCGTACTATCGCAGCTGCACCCACACAGAGAGCCGCGGGGGGAAAGTACGTGTGAGTATGAGGGGAGGAACGAGGGGTGTGGGGGGTCTTAATCGATGTCTGGGGCCGTGTGGGTGAACACATTAGGTGTCAAACGTTGTTAAGGCTTACGTCACACAAGGTATCATTGGTAGAACTATTGCTTGCGAGCCCCCCCCCCCCCTTTCCTTTCTACACACACAACATTTAAGTGCGGCTCTCTGTTTATTTTAATTAAGGTGGCCAGTTTCCTCAAAAGAGGAGAAAGACGCATAAACTACAACACAGGAGCTGTGTGACAGAAGATTTTGCGAAGAAGGAAATTGTAGCTATACCTTGTCAAGAGAATGAGTTTTAAACTATTCCACTAAAAATGAATGTTTTATCTAGTATCTCGTTTTCAGCCCTCACTGATTTTTATCCCATTTTGATCATTGATACCCAACATAAAATGCAGTATCCTGCTTGCAGTCCTAATCATACCCCCCCCCCTTTCCCCCGGTGAGCAGTCGTATAGCTATAACACTGTGCTTCCAAAAAAAATAAAATTACATAAACAATGCTCAGAGATGATTATGATTATTTACCAAATTCGATACCATACTAATGTCTTTCCTTAATAAACTATTCGATTACAAAAGGGGGACGAGGTCAGGATCAATCTTTCAGCACTTTGAGTTATGACGTCACGGTGGGTGAATTCTATTGAGTCCCAAATCGGGAGAAAACTTCCGTCAAGCACTAGAAATAGGTCAAGCTTGCAGTGACGTGTGTGGGAAAGAGATTTTCAAACAGCCACCGAGTGGGCGGAATGTGGCTTGTACAGAGTGCACATTTTGCGGTCAATTTGCAGGCGGTATATCGGGGCAAATATACAGTAGTTTAGACAGTTGGCGGATGACGGAATGTGGTTTGAAGGCGAAAATACTATGTTTAAGTAGTTACTTCATTTAGCACAGTGGCAAAACCTAGTGGGGCTAGCGGTATAACGAGATTTGACTATATTTTTTAATCTAACTGTGTCATTTAGATGATAGAACTTCATAACATTACCTTTTTTTTAAACGATTTTGAATTACAGAAAATATATTATATGCATCCCAGAATGGCTTTCAATGAACATTTGCAGATTTGGAGTCACCCACATACACACTCTCGCAGATCACTCTCTTTCATCCTTTTCTTTCTCTCTCTCTCTCTCTCTCTCTCTCTCTCTCTCTCTCTCTCTCTCTCTCTCTCTCTCTCTCTCTCTCTCTCTCTCTCTCTCTCTCTCTCTCTCTCTCTCTCTCTCTCTCTCTCCAATGTTTGTTCTAATCCTTCGAGGATGATCCTCCATAACACATACGCTTTCTAAACGGCTTACTTCGTGTTCAGTAGAGATGAAATATAGATATATATGTAAACGGAAGATACAAAATTAAGTCGGAGGACCACAAGTAAGTCCTGGCCTTAATCAATGCACAACTAAAGCATACGCCAAAACAGGAAAGGGTGAAGATGGGGGAAACTACATAATTATATGGGTGTGTGCACGTGCGTCAATATATTTTTATTATTATCATTATTATTATTATCATTATTATTATTATAAATACTCGTATTAGCATTATTATTATTATTATTATTATTATTATTATTATTATTATTATTATTATTATTATTATTATTATTATTATTATTATTATCATCATTATTATTATCATTACAAGACATCTTTCCTGCCTACAGCCGGGTGCCCATTCCCACTTTGATGAAGTAGGGAAAATTTATACAACGTACCTCTACCAAGGACACAATTTCGGCACCTAGGCAGGGTTCAAACCTAAGACCCTTCAGTCACAAAGCGCAAATTAAGGCACTTCTGTTTTTGCTAACTATTCCAAATCAGTCTTGAATTCTGTGCTCCAAATACATCCAGGATATAGAGAGATCTAGATCTAGAGTCTTGCTCTCTAAAAAAAACAATAACCTACGAACCAAATTTTGAAAACGTCAATACAAAGAAGTAAACATTTTGTGGGTTTAAACGAACTTAACGTGTTGGGGGCATGACTGCACCTCAAATGAATCTTTAAAAAGTCAATACAACGAAGTTTGGCCGGAAGTATCCATCGACATTGTGAAACACACATCCAAACAGAGTTGGATATCGAGATTCTAGATCTGGAAATAGTAGAAGCTGCTGTCTCACAAACACGACGAAGCACGAACCGAAAAGGAAGTAGTCCCCACAGTAAAATATGAAATGGCTAATGACAGAGTGAAAACATCTGAGAGCTTCGATTTACGGGAAAAACCACCAAACCTGAGAAATCCAAAGGTAGTTTTAAACTTTGAAAATATGCCCACGTAATCCTTTGTGACAATTTTTAACTGAATCCTATTTTTGTAGATTTTATGGGCACCTGTGGAAAGAATGTACACTGAACTCACAAACAAGCTTAGCTCCAAAATAATAGGATTATTATCATTATGAGTATTATTATTTATTGTTCTCAGGAGTGTGAGTGCGTACTACAAGTATCGTGTAGTATGTAATTTAGTGAATGTGGGTCGAAACGAACTTAGCGCAAATATATCTAGGCGTCGGTGGCCTAGTGGTAGGCTACCGGACTCGTAATTGTGAGGTTGCGAGATCGGGGGTTCGAGCCGCGGGCAAGACGTTGAGTCCTTGAGAAAGGCACTTTAGACGAATTTTCCTCACTTCATCCATGTGGAAAAGGGTACCCGGCCATAGACAGCGAAAGATCTTGTCAGTATGTTAGTATTTTAGCGCCTATAAATGGCTGCTTGCACTCTATGCTTCCCAGGAAGTTGAGTTTGTTTCAGAAAGCTCTCAGGTCTGCTGGGGTAATAGTATAGATTGTGAAGCGCATAGAGCTTGCTGTTGTGCGGGGATTTGCGCTATACAAATGCTATCTATTATTATGTTTGTATGTCTGTGTCAATGGGCACGTATGTGTATTATGGGTGTGTGTTTATGTGTGTGTATGCGTTTGCTTAGGTGTTTGCGTATTTATGTGCGTTTGTGTATGTGTGTGTGTGCGTGTGTGTGTGTGTGTGTGTGTGTG